ATTATTTTTCTCGTGTTTCATTTGGCAGGTGTGATCTGATATTGTGTGGCTCAAGTAGTGTGCTGATTGTCAAAAAAGAAGGCAAGTGGACCTTGTGGGATAACCAACCTAGCTGTGTAGGCGGCTTTCCGAACCACACCTTAATTATTGTTTTAGGTTTGTCTATATTGTGTATTTTCTTGTTGTGTCCAGTTGTTTAATGATTTTTTTCTTAAAAAAAAAAAACAAAATCTGGGTTTAAATCATTCTAACAACATCTTAATTTTTATATAAGAATAGTTTTAAATAGATTTAAATGAAATTAGTTGAGTTAATTACAAGGTGGAGATAATTGTTAGAATTAATTAATGTTGTAAGTGGTCTGTAAAACAAGGATATGGACATTAGTTAAGGTAATTGAGTTTGAATTTGAAATTCATAAAACAACACCAATAATATGATATGCCAAATGATAATCAGGTTAGTCAAGTCATAATGGATTTGGGAAATTGGGAGGAAAAGTTAAATTAATTTGGTTTTATGCATATGAAACACTGACATATTCACTTGTGATTGATGACATAGCCCATTATACAGTATGGCGAGCAACAGATCCAGTCTCTTACCCTGTTTTAGGCGAGATTCAAAACAACCAGTCAAAGACCTTACCAACTAGCCAGTTGGCAAGTCCAGATAGGCTGCAGACAGAACCAAGCACACTAGGCTGGACAACATATCACTAGTGAACATATGAATATTCCATACACATGGGACACATCCATTCCTCCAACTGGCACTTTGCAAGTGTGAAACATGTGTAAGATGTGTAGCTATAGCCTAAAATTCCCTTAGAAGCTGTATTGGTAACAAATCCAGGCTCTTTATTTGCTTCTTGTCCTCTCTATGGCTTCATTTAATTATTGAGAATATTGTATATTTGCACACAAATAAGGCTGTATACAGGTTGGTTCGGTTGCACGCAATTTTCTCAACCAAACTGAACTGGTGGGATTGGATTTTCTGCCAACCAAAACCAATTGAAAGGGACATATATATGGAAACTGAACCAAACTTGTTGGTTTGTCAGTTTATTTAAACTCAATTGACTAGAGCCCATGGTTATATATATTTTTTGGTAAGGTGAAAAGAGGAATTACACAAGGCGGGGGTAGCTCGACCCTAAGCATCCGAAATACACAAATATAAGGGAAGCACATGAGAGCATATGTTAATAGGAGAATCATTCGAGGATAGCGCTTGATAAGCAGCCCAGTCTGCAACTTGATTTGCTTCTCAAAAGACATGATGGTAGAAGATTACACTCAAGCAGGGTATTTGATTTGCAACACTCCTCGATGATGGTCCTCAATCTCTATGGAACCTCGGTATTTCTGTTAAGGAAAGAGACAATAAGAAGAGAATCCCCCCACGAAAATTGGATGTCTAGAGAACGACATTGTGTTCTTCTCACGCTGCCGAGGCTTCAGCAAAATTAATCGTGGTGCTTCCAATGAAATAAGCTTTAACCTCTAGTTTGGATTTGGATCACGGCCCAATAAAGAGTAGTATGAACCGGCTTTATGTCAATCATGAGATATCATCTTTTGGCTATGAGCATATAGTTGGAGTAGTGATTCTCCACCAAAACTAATAAAACAAAAAGATTGAGGAGAAATAAAGGAATATAGGAGCTGTCTTGATCAATAAAGACAAAAGTTTGAATCACTTCTGAATTTTTCTTTTTTTTTTTTTGTTAATTAGAAAGACCGACGAACTAGATCATGGGAAGGGAGCGGATGGGCTAAAATTATTGCCTATCGGTTTGGTTGGGAAAAACTTTGGCTGTTGGGCCAACACCCAACAGCGTATGCTGTTTAGATAGTTTGGACGTGCCCAGCCCAAAAACTCTCTCAACCGTTAGGATTAATTAATTTCAGTTTATAAACTCGACCCCAAACTGAATCCGAACCTATCAGCCGGATTTGCAAAAATTTATAAACCGAAGCCAATTCACTAATTTTAGAGTTCAAATCAGCCTCTCACAATGTCCTACAGCACATCCCCGCCATGTATTATAAACATCTCTCGATGATGACATCAACATTTTTTATATCATCATCAGGAAATGTTTCCAATACATGACGGGGATGTACTGTGAAATGTTGTGTGTATGGGGGGGGGGGTTGATTTGCTCTTCCAATTTTGAAAATCGATCATGTCAGATCGAATCAGGCCCATTTGGTCGATGATGTTGTCCACGAGTAACATATGAAAAAAGTGATGAATTAGATGAAATTAACTGAATTCAATAACTTGCGAACACAGCTAATGAACTGAAATAGGGTGAGCAAGCAGTTTATTTGGTTTGGAAAAAAAATCAAATCGAAACTGAAATAGTGAAAAACCAAAATAACCAAATTTTAATTTATACATTACATGCATAAATAAAGTTTGATTAATTTGATATTTTTCAATTAACTTCATTTTCAAAGCTGAAAACCAAAACCAAAACTATAATTTTATAAAAAAAAAAAAAAAAAAACTGACGAAAAATAAAAACCAAAATTTTTTATACGATTTTTCAGTTTTAAAAGAGAAGTAGCGGAAATGCCAAGAGTCTCACCTTGAGCCCAAGAGTGCCATTGTGTTCCTCATTTGTGGGACATGTGTCAATTTCCCAAATAATCACCACCATTGCAAGATGTGGGTGACATGGCCAGTCAAGGGAAGGATGAGGAGACTGAGACCGAATCAGCCCTCCATAAGACTGTTCCCCACAACGTCTTACACCACATCCCCACAATGTATTGGAAACATCATCATCATCGGGAGAATACATGGCAGGAATATGCTGTGGGACATTATGAGGGGCAGTCTTGTGGGGGCTGATTCGGGATGTGCAGTGTTCTTAAGCACGGGCTTGCTTGTCACGTTGATGGGCTCAGAGGATGCCACATCACTGCACCTCGGCTTGTTTGGGCCATTGACTACGTGATGGTCCTCAGCTTGGCCACTTGTCACCTTTTGCTTGGTTCATGTGGTGGTCTAAGCTGGGCCAGGTTTACAATCAAATCAGTTGGTTTGGTGCATTTTCTGAACAGCCGTAAAACAAGCAACCCTCCAATGCCTGAATTGGGATCTGTTCCTCGTAGTGCGCGTGAGTGAGCGCTTCTCACATCGATTTCACATAATCGATGTGAAATCGATAATGAATTTGAGATTTTGAATTGGGATCTGTTCCTCGTAGTGCGCGTGAGTGAGCGCTTCTCACATCGATTTCACATAATCGATGTGAAATCGATAATGAATTTGAGATTTTGAATTGGGATCTGTTCCTCAACGTTTGAAAATCTGATTTTGAATTTGAGATTTGACATAATTAAATCGAGTTTGGATAATTTAAATATTTAATTGGTCAAATTCAGATATCTTATTTATACTGAATAATTAATTAGATTTGAATTCGGATATGACTTGACTCGATTCGATAAATATCGAAATTTGACTGATTATTTAATTTTTATATATAGTATATAAAATATTTAAGTGTCTTATATAATTTATATATTTATATATTTATATAAATAAAATATTTATTGTATATATTTATTAATTACTTAAAATAATTAATTAGACGAATTCGAGTTGAATCAAATCGAATATTCAAATATTTAATCAAATTCAAATTCGAATATTAATTTTTAATATCCATTGGATATCGAATCGAATTCGATTATCAAATTTTCTAATCGGATTCAAATTCGAATATTGCTTGATCCGCTTTGAATTCAATCTGTTTACACCACTAATTTCACAATCACGACCCATAAGTAAGGATAGGCTGTGAGGTCAGTGTGAAGCATGCTGTATGAGGAGCAGACAGTGACTCCCAATGCCTTGCACAAACTGGAGGGAACCTTTAACATTTAGGGAGAATGACTGTTCAGCCCAGGGTCAGAAATTCTAGGCCCAATTCATAGGCAGGCATTGATGTATAAAGTGGGGGTTTTTAACATTATGAATGTTTATAGCTCTGCCATAGAATTCAGAAATCTGCATTAGGCCTGTCCGTACTTCCCGGTGTGTCATGGAGGCCCAACTCAAAGATTAGAAAAAAGGGAATAATTACTGATATGGTCACTTCATATTTTCACTTAAGAGGAATGCGGAACAAAATCTTCTTGTCCAGAAAAAACTTCTGCCAGTTAGGTCCTCTTATGTTCAATTCTACCCCATTGACGTCAAAATGACAATTTGGCATACAAAGGTTTGAATCTGTGTGAAATTAACGGAAGACTGGCTGCTCTTTTTATTTTGACCATAAGCATAGGTACCTCGAATTTGAGCAGCCCATCAAGGCGAATGCGATCCCAACTGGGTAGAGGTTATTAAGACGAACAATTAGATTGGTGGTCTAGATCACTAGATGGCAACTTCTTAGTGGAGTATGTTTTGTGGAGTCATGGCTGAGGAGAACCGCTGTTCTGGTACCCTGCGTGGCTGTTAATGAGCTTGCATTGACCAAGATATCTATGTTACATGGTCACTTCCCCTTTGATTTTTGGATTTTGAGAGGGGAAAGTTGGTAAATGGCCCATTGATCAAGATATTTATGTAAGCTGAAGCAATGGAGTTGAACGTACTCAGATACCTTCTGGAGGTTATAATACGTAAAGTTGGAGCATTTTGTAGAAAGAGCGCTTGAACTTTCAATGATGCATCAAATGTGAAGTTGGTATGAGTTCTGTATTAAAGCTCCAAGAGTTAATGCATTTGACAGTAGACTGTAGAATATCAATGAATTATTTTGAATTTTGTTACCCACTGAGCTTCCTGTTTATCATTGAATACTTGTCCCAGGATCTCTTCATGTCGAATTGCATAGGCAACATGTATGTGAAATGTGGGCTGCAATGTTTTGTTATTAGGCTGTGAGGGTGAAGGTGAAGGGAGGCAATATGCCTAACATTCTCCAGTTGGGTTGGTGCGTAAAGAAGCAGAAGAGGATAACAGTGGCAAGATATATAAATAAGCATGGACTCTCTTTAGCACAATAATATAACATTGGCAAATGCAGGGGTTGAAGTTAAAGAAGAAACAACCATAGATATGAGTGGCAGAACTATAAAAAGATACATTACATTACATTACATGTCTGTAGTTGTTGAAGGTTAATTTCCATTTGGTTGGGAGGAACTAAAGAAGTGATTGATTCCTTTATATGACCCTATCGATCGACTTACTGATCTGATCGATCATCTGTCAAATATCATTCTTGATGATTGATTGTGTAATGGCACATTGGCCACAACTATCTGCCTTCAGTTGTCATCAATTGTGAAAAGACTTGGGTCGTTGATACCTCTGAATTCCCATCACTGTCTCCTTCGGTTCTTATGTTAGTAGAAGGAGCGCGTGGAATGACTCTGGGTAATGGGAGCTCCGATGCTGCAGGAGCGCTATCCTCGTGTGGTTCTCTGTTTACACCGCTCTGATGGAGCTGAAGTACATATTCCAAATTCCATAGCACATCACCCATTGTGGGTCTATCAACACCATATTCAGCCAAGCATTTCTCTGCCGTCTCTGCGAATTTCTTCAGAGACCTGGGGTTTATCTGATCCACGAGATGGCGATCAATGATCTGCTCAATCAACCCTTTCTTTTGCCATTTAATTGCCCAGTCGGCCAAGTTGACCTGATCCGTTGAGAGCGAGATATCGATGGCTGGTCTCGCACAGAGTACCTCAAGAAGAACCACTCCAAATGAGTAGACATCAGATTTATCTGTGAGCTGCTGCCGTTTAAAATACTCAGGGTCCAGATATCCAAAGCTTCCTTTCACTCCAGTGCTAACATGGGTCTCCTCTAGACAGGGGCCGGACCTGGAAAGGCCGAAATCAGCAACTTTGGCCACATAGTTCTCATCCAGCAAAATGTTGGTTGATTTAATATCACGATGGATGATTCCCTGGGCTGAACCTGTGTGAAGATAATGGAGACCCCTGGCTGAACCGATGCATATTTCGAGCCTCTGTTTCCATGACAATGGTTGAAAGTTTGGACCATACAAATGATTCCTCAAAGGCCCCTTCTCCATGTACTCGTAAACCAGTATCATTTCCGACTGTTCTTCGCAATATCCAACCAGGGAAACCAGATGCCGGTGACGAATCTTTGACAAGACTGTGATCTCTGTATGAAATTCTGGGAGGCCCTGCCTAGATCCTGGTACACCTCGCTTCACTGCAACTTTGGTGTTGTCTCTGAGCACTCCTTTGTACACCCTACCAAATCCACCTGAACCGATAATCAAATTGTCGTCGAAGTTTTTCGTTGCAAACTGAATCTCAGCAAAAGGAATCTTCATGCCAAGATGCATGCTTGTGCTGCCAGTCCTTTCATATAGCACGCTGCCGGATCTCACTCCAGTTGCCTGCCAGGATGGCCATGCCACAGTTTCCCCAGGTCTTGATCCTGTTTTCTTCTTCTTCTTCCTTCGTTTCATTTCCAGCACAACTGCAATTATCAACACGCACATAAGAGCAGAGCCTCCAAGCACTGAACCTAACAGAAGCGCCACATGTTTTTTCTTCGACCCGCTTGGTAAAATCGAACCCTTGGCACTAACCATCCTCATGATCTCTACCCCGTTCAGTAAAGCATTAATATTTGGTGGGGCAGTAATTTCAGAAGGTCCAACGCTAATGCGCAGAAACCCTGAATCATCCGAATCAATGACACGGTCAATGTAGTAAGGAGATGCCAACGTATGGCTGGTAATGGTAGACAGGTCAAGATCTTTGTATGCATAGTAGCCATAGATATATACATCGAAAATCAGCAGGTTAAGGGCTGTACTGACGATATCGCAGAAATGCAACCGAACCAGGTGCCTGACACCACCTGGACTCACCGGAAAGGACCAAGTTATGTTGAAATTCAGAGTCATAGACAGATTGGGCTTATTCATCTGCTGGGCAGTTAGGTAGACACTATCTGGAGCGATCTCTTTGGTTGATCCCCCCTTCTGGTAATTAGGTGGCCGAGTTCGAGAAGCGGGCTTTGCCGCAGACTTCAAAACCAGATAATCCTCATCTGGAATCCAAGTTCTCCACAGAGTGTCATTAAAAGGTGTAACTTTTTCTCCCCCAACGTTGATCCTGTGAACGGTCTCTAGAATCTGAGACGTCACGTTTTCGTATTCCCCAGCTCCCGCCGGACTAATGAACTGAATTCCCACATCAGTAATCAGATCAGAGGGAGCCGTGAAGACTTCAATGGCATTAACAAATCCGAAACCTGATGTGCCAACAGGGGTGAAGGAAACTTCAAGCTTCCCACTATCTACCATTAATATGTATTCTTTCAACACGGCACTGTTGTTATTGTTACCCCCGCTTCTCCGGACACTAAAATTACTCAGAAGTAAAGACCCATGAATCGAAACGTGGAAGACAGCGGTACTGAGATCGTAATTCTGTGAAGTGAAAGGAAAGAAATGGAGACGTACCAGATGAGTGCTCTTTTTCTTGATTTGAAATTGATAACTGGAGACCCCAGTGAAAACTCTCGCTGTTCGGTACAGAGGCGATGGACCCTGAGGTGGGCTTTGGTCTCTGAGGGAGATGGATCGAGGCGCGGAGAGGAAGACCGAGCCGGTGCTCGTTGAATCTCCGACGAATTGGCGGCTATCGACTGTGCTGTTTGCGTTGGATCCGCAGTCGATAAGATAATTATCCAGGGGAGTGAAGGCCAGTGAGAGAAGAGGAAGAGATAAGAATTGGAGAAGAAAGGGAAGAAGAAGAGGAATATAGAAAAATGGAGGTTTTTTCTTTTCCATTTAGTTATTCTTTCTCGTGGAAAAGAATTAAGCTCTTTATTTCATCGGATACACAGACAGCGATACAGAAAGAGGAGCCAAGAAGAAATTGCAGAGCTTGGTTGCAGAGAGAGACTCGTATGTGAGTAAGCTATCATCTTTATAGTTTTTCTTCCATGGAGATTGTGATGAAGAAAAAACAAAAACCATTGATAATTTTGCTGGTCGGGATTAAGTAATTGTCAAAATCGTCCACAGGAGTGATTCGAGTAGAAGTGTCGCTTTGCTTTTCTACAATTTTCCCACACAGACGGATCGAAGCGTGACAGACAAAGGATCACGGGCATGCTGCAGTCACGGGACCCAGTTAATCCCGTCTAAGAAATTCTCTTCCGGTAAGGACCCATGACTTTTGGACACACCAGACGATGCTCTACACTTCTACCTACCACATCCTTGAGGCTTTGGAACTGGTGGGTCGCCTTTTTTCCCTCTCTTCTCTTCTTTTTTCCCCCTAACCAGGATCCAGGGCCACAGATAATCTTCAGAGACTGCACTTAGCAATGAGAACAAAGAACGAAGTAACAGTCGTTTTACCAAAAGAGCAATTATAGTTTCTAGAATTATCGATTATCTGAAGTCTGAACACTTAAACACCTTTATATATCATTTTATTGAGTTAATTTATATCATCAGATCGATCCAACTTCTGCATATTTGGCCTAGATGAGATGAGTGTTACATGGTGTGTAAGCATCTGATGTTTACAACTCGAGATAAAAGCCTACCAGCCAAAATCATATTGTCCACTTTGACCTAGTGCGAGCCACCTCCTCCATTGGCTAGACATAGTGGTGCGGTGGGGCTCATGTGGATCAAATCCCTAGTGGATGATGTTGGACAGCAAAGCCTGAGGCCTTGAGCTAAACAAACCCCCTACAAGCAACCCTTCTCCGCGTGGGGCCTATCCCTGTTGGAACTGATTAATGACACCGGTTTTTGGAGGTTGGGGGGGTTGGCAAGGAGAATAAATTAATGAAAAAGGAATTGGACACAATTCTCTCTTCCTCTCTCTAGGCAGCAATTCAACCCTAATACCAAAGTAGAGATCATTCACAACTATATAGTTGAGCACTTGAGCTCTGAGCATGTAGTATCTACAGAGGCCAAACCGAGTGTGGTGAGCTCCACCATCATCACAAATAGTCCTTCCAAATAACATGATGTGTGAAACCATACAACTGATTGTAGACTGCCGATATGTTAGCAGCGATGAATACACGATGATATTGACTAAAATCAACTTTAGTCTGTCCGGAATAACATTGTCCTCTTCTTAGGATTCTGAAATTACAAATCTAGATTCCAAGGGGCAGCCCCTCCAGCACTACTGTTTCTCTGCATCTCCATCCATCTAGAATTGAGTTTACTTTGGCTCCTTCCGTGATGGAATATAGGACCATCCGAAGGTAGGAAACATGGCCACGTAGCTTTTGTCATCATGTACTGTTTAAGATCCACTTGCATACATGGTTTACAAAAATGGATAGAAAAGGAACTGTTTTAGCCATCGGTTATTGAGCCAAACGGTCCGACCGTCTGGTCCAAACCCAGATTGGATGGTTTTGGGTTTAAAACCGGACCCACACTATAACCGGTTCCCAAATCAACCGGTCTGACCTTCCGATCCTTTCTGGTTTTTAAAATCATTCGTTCACATTACACTCCTTCAAGGCAAAATTAGGGTTATATCTTGTAATTTGTCATTTGGTTGTTCCAATATTGCTGTGTTTTCTAGTTTCTACATGGAGGTATTAGCTGGGCAGTGCCTAGAGCAGTCTTATCAAAGGTTTGAAAAAGACTATGCCCAAGTGCCGTGGTTGAGGCTGAGGATATGAAGTCAATTATGTTACGGCACATGTGATGTTTTAGCCGAATATTGCAAGTAGAATCAATGTTTTCAACCCACCGTTAATCTAGTCACTTGAACCATTTGAACCGTTATTCGGTCAGGATTTTAAGTTAGGTTCAGTGAAAACTCGTTAGATGGTCAAAAATCATTGACTTTGAGTCAGTTCAACTGTTAATCCATTTGATCAAGTGATCGAGTCCTCAATGCATGCAAATTTTTGGAGGTCATAACTTTGTACTCTAATGTCCAATTATGGTGATTTTTTTTTTATTTTGGGTAACTTTTCGATATCTATGTGCCCGCCCCATAGGTGCCTTGCGCCACTATATTTGCGAAAAAAATCCTTTTTTTGGCCTCAAATTGTAATTTTTAATATTTTTATAAATAAAAAAAATTAAAAAACATAAATTAAATATAAAATAATACATGTAACATATCTAAAACATATTTATACATTATTTATTGCTAACATATATATTTGCACACACACACACACACACACACATATATGCAATGTGTGTGTATATGTATATACACTTAATACATATATGCAATATGTAGATATATAGTGTTCGCTCAGACCCTCAGAGAACATCAAACACTAAATTAACACAATGGAGTTGCATGTGAGCAACTGACAATCAATTTTCTCACTTCGATGAACCCACAACGCATCACAGGTTTTGCGATGAACCCATAGAGTGCATTGCATAACTGCGGTAAACCCGTGGTTCGCCGCACGCCTACAAACCCATTTGCGACTTGACTCAGGAGGAACTCGGGCTGAGCCCTTTGGCAAAAGAACCGCACGTGCCCAAATTCGTAATAGACCCATAGACCATCAAAAGACGTGGCAGAGTGCCATGTAGGGCTAACAGGACACCGCCCGTTGGGTAATGACATCACTAATTGCCACGTCAATATAATAGTGTGCACGAGAGGTAGTAGTACACGTGAGTAATGAAGGATCTTGAGGGGAAGGAAAGCCGATCTACAGGAAAATCCCCATGAGACACGTGGCAAAACCCTAGTGACACACTTAATGATAGACAACAAATCCAATATTGCCTTTCCTGATAGGAGACAAGCACCTTTATCTCCTACCTTTTAGGATCCTAGGATCTCCCCCATAAATAGAGATCCTCCTTGTATTGAAATTCATCATTCATTACTCAGCACACAACATCCAACACTCAAGTGCTCTCCGCTTTGATTTCTTTGCCCTAGCACCCTTAAGTTGAAAGCCAATCTCCTTTACTCACCCTTAAGTTGAAAGACAATCTCCCTACCCACAATAGAATCGTTAGTTTGCTTCTTTGATCACAGAGAATGGCCTCATGTAGAATCAACCTCACCACCATCCCTGAGGAGCAAAACAACACCCCAGAGAACACCAACCTCAGGGTGGAAGACCATCCTGAGATGGAGATGCCTATTCAAGCTAATATCGAGAATACTCTTGAAAAAAGTCTATAGGTTCAAGGCACTCTTTGAAAGCATATTTAGGAAGCTCTAGCAGAGCTAGGAGGAAACAAGGAGTGCCCTCCAGATCCTACTCAACCGTTCAGCCCAAACCGAAAAGATTCCCGTCGCCATTCTTCCCGGCGTCCCCAACTCCAATCCCAACCCTAGCCGCCATGCCTCTAACCCGACCCTTGCCATCCCCGAGCAGTCCAACAGAGCCAACCCGACCTCAACCCAAACAGGCCACCAACCAGCCCACCAATCTCATGCCTTTCCCTGTACCAACCTAATAACAGAGACCCCTCTTAGTCGAGAGATGAGCTAAGGGAATATCTCCAAGTGTTGGTAGTTGAAAGTCGTAACCGGGCCCATGATTCGACTATCCTACAAAAGCCTTACTCTGGCTGTATTTTGTACAAGTCCTACCTTGTCGGTGCACCCCCTTCAACAATGGCAACAATATGACAGGTAGAAAGGTAGCCCGCAAGAGCACATTAGCAAGATTGAGGACATCCTCAGTTCCTTCGCCCTCGATGAGGATCTCAAAGTACGGGAATTTTCAAAGTCATTGACTGGTCCAGCATACACGTGGTTCGTGAGTCTCACCCTTGAAATAGCTAAGAAGATTTTGTCAAAGTGGTTCACCCTGGAAAGAAAATTGGCAATGGCTGATCTATAGAGCGTAGAGCAAGGACCAAGGGAAGATCTTTTGGCCTACGTTATGAGGTTCCAAAAACTCACACTCTGCTTCGACGAACACGCCACTAAGAAGAGTTTCGTAGAGCAGTGTGTGCAAGGCATGTGCCCTACCTATAGGATCGACATCGAGAACATCGAAGTCGATACCTTTAAACAGCTCTAGAGGTGCGCAGAGAGCACGGCATGAATCGTCAAGGACACCTCTCCATACAACAGAAACAAGGCATATGTTGTCGATAGAAAGCCCATAAACAACGGAGGAGCCACACAGGGGCCATACCAGCGTGATAACGCCCAAGGAAGTAGGAGTACCCCTCCCCCATTCCCCTACACAAGGGTAGAACGCTTAGCCACAAACTTATTAAACCCCAAAATTTGAGACAAATAATAATGTAAACCATGACAAGAGTTGAAAGAAGACGCCTTGGAATACTATGATGAAGTCAAAGCACCTCCCAGGTGCATGACGGATTCCATTGACACAGTAGAAGAGCCATTAGAAGAGATCAACCTAGCGGCTAATGGGACAGACAAAAGACCACTATATATATCCGCCAAGCTGGAAGCCGAAGACAAAGAAGAGTTCATCGCACTCCTAAAAGGTAAGAAACTATCCTTATCGCAAAAACCTCAAAGCCCGAAAATAGTCTAACCTATGTCTTCTCAAAGAATTTTAGGATGTATTTGCCTAGTCATATGACTAGATGTCGGGTTTAGACTTAGACCTCATCAGACACTCCTTGTGTATAGACCCAAAATTTTGACTAGTGAAGTAGCCGCAGAGGATTTTCAAGCCAAAAATAACCCTAAAGATCAAAGAGGAAATCGAATGGTTGTTGAAGGTGGGTTTTATCAACCAATATCCCACCCTCAGTGGCTAGACAACGTAGTTCCAGTGAAGAAGAAGAACGAGCAGTTAAGGTTAGTGTCCTCCCATCCAATCCTTTAGCGATAGCATATCACCCAAATACTAACCTCACCTTATCATAGATGCCGTGTCGACTTTAGGGACCTAAACAAGGCTTGCCTAAAGGATGAATTTCCTCTACCCAACATGGAAGTGTTGATAAACTCCACCACATGACACGAGCTTTTCTCCTTCCTAGATGCTTGCAGCAGGTACAATCAGATCTTCATGGATCCTGCAGAGGCACCCCACACAGCCTTTAGGACACCGATAGGAAACTTCTACTATAAAATGATGCCTTTCAATCTGAAGAATGCGAGAGCAACCTACCAGAGAGTGATGACTAGCGTCTTCCACAATATGATACACAAAGAAATCGAATGCTATGTGGATGATGTGGTTTTCAAAGCAAAGAAGAAGGAGGATCACTCTGAGGTTCTAAGGAAAGTCTTAACCCATTGTAGGGAATTCAAACTAAGGTTAAAACCCACTAAAGTGTGCATTCGGAGTACAACCAGGGAAGTTCTTAGATTATAGAGTAGATCAAACAGGGATAAACCCAAATGAAAGCAAAGTCAAGGCCATCCTAGACCTCCTGCCTCCAACCAATGAATTTCAGTTAAAAACATTCCTAGGAAAAATTTCATAC